GCCTGAGGCTCTTAACAGAGCGCTCAGGCGGCTGCAGTATTTAAAGGGCCGGCCCGCCGCGGCCGGCCTTACAGGAATTTAGGGCGGCCTGGGGGGCAATTGCCTCCCTGCCCCCCGGCCCAGCCCGCCCCTAAGTGCTTCCTGCCTTGTCCTTAAACGGTGGGCTGGTCCACTCAATTGGCAGGCTGTTAATTCAACAGGAGGACCTATGTCACTGACCCACACCATTTCACCCCTCACACTGGCGTCCCGCATCACAGGACGCGGAAGTTGGGATGTGTGCAGAAATTATGTTTTGGTGGGGCAGAAGTAGTCAAACGGGGCACTCACTAGTGGTTAAGGGAAGTTGAGGCTTCCATTCACCCTTATAGACACTAGTGCAACCTTTGGCACTCCAGATGTTGTGGACTACATCCCCCATAATGCTATTACACCCATAATGCTGGCAAAGCATCACAGGAGGTGTAGTCCAAAACATCTGGAGTGCCGAAGGTTGCCTATGCCTGCACTAGTGTGTCTCCAGTGTGACTAGGGAGCACTCATCTCTTGCCAACCAGCACATAGTACAAACTATGATCACTGTATGGCTGTAAAAAGCACCAAACGCCCAACAGTAGAAACTTTACAAGCTCCATGGTCTGTGAAACAGACAGAGCTAATTAACTATGTGTGCTATTTCTCAACAGCTGAGCAAACACAGTGTACCCAGAGCAGGAAATTGTCAGTAAATGAAGCTTCCTGAACAAATAACCAGGCTTGCACTGGAAGGACGCCAGAATCTCTCTTAGCCCTTTAAGGCCAAAGTACCCAAACTAGAAGCATAGCTTACCTGGTGAATGTTTTCAGTTCGGCTATGTTGGACTTAAATTTGAAATTCCCTTTGAATTCCTTTCGTGAATAACCCTGCTAAAGTTTTCTTTTATTTTTTTTGTAAAGCATGTGTTTATTTACTTTTTGCTTTCCTATTGTCACGGTCCAGACGGCCAGGTGTCAAAAAGGGGATTTGAACTCTTGCTGCATTAGTCCTGCTGTCTTGTCTCTGAGCCTTGCTTCAGTTCATGTTTCTGCCTGATGTCCTATCCTGCCTTGTCTACCCGTGGCTGCTCCTGTCTCTCTATGTCCATTTGAGGCAGATAGCTCATTAGCAAGGTATTTAAACCTGACCTCTGGCATCCTCTGACTTTGGCTTATCCGGTACGATCCTTCTGCTTGTGTCCTTGTCTGTACTGCGAATTGGAGCACCTTTCATACACAGCCCCCGTGCACAGATTCACAGTCCTGGTGGTTTCTAACCTTATCATCTTGGACTGTGTATATCTGCAAGGGTGAGCACAAATCTCTGCCTACCTGACTCCAACCTCAGGTAAGACCCTGGCATGTATGAACAATACACAAAAATAATTTATTGATAGAATTTGCAAGAAAAATAAGGACCTTGGTGTATTCTAAAATGGAAAAAAGTTTAACTTACCACGATCACGGCAGAAGTGTCTCACGATCCTCCCAGAAGAAGGATCCCGGCTGGTGCTGCGTTCTAAGGGCCATCGGCCACTGCGGTCCCGTTCTTTCTGTTAAAGGGCTCACTGCCCACATTAAAGATGGCACCGGCGTGCATGTGACATCACGATATCGACACACACGCACGTTTTGGGGTCAATGGCCATGTACTGACCAGTCACAGTGTTGTAGTGTAAGCATGCAGAAGCCAAACACAGAGATATGGACACAAGTCTTCAGGAAGTAAGAGGCCTTTATTCACATTACCGATCGGGTCTCAGATGAACTCCTGTTCCAAAATTCTGAGAGACAAATACCTGGGGCTTGGGACTTTTGTTAACTGCATATCTCCTCCCATACAGTATAACCCCTCCTATATTCCTCAGACCAATCAGTGAGCAGAATATAGACTTGTACATCTAGTCAAACCACATGGCTCATCCAAGACAAAGGAAATAAATGCAATTTCAGTTCCTGCATTCCTGCACATGCTCAGTACACTGATGACAGTATCCTAGCTACGTGTAGCTAACTAACTAACACAACATACACATATGCCACATGGAGATTTTGGCCTACTAAATTTTGACCATGATGGAATCCCATCACATTCCCCCCTTTGATGCCTCTGATATAACATTATTCCAGATGCATCACCAATCACAGTTTTACCTATGTTGGGGAAAATATTATGTATATATCTGTTTAATATGTGCTTGATTTAGTCTGTGTGTATGGGAGGTCAGGAATTATCTTCAAAGGGAGTTTCTGTTTAGATAGCTGGAAAGATACAGCACCTGAAAGGCACCAATCACATTTACATATCAACTGGTCTTCAAAGGAGTCCCTATCTAGGAAAACACACCTTGGGTTAGAGGCAAGGGGATGGCTGGGAGAGTTAACACTTAAATAAAATAACAGGATAGACAACACTTTGGGCCTTGGGAAAGTAAATCACATTTACATATCAATTGAGCTGAGGAATTTGCTATTTACAACATGGGAACCAATTCCTTTAAAAATAGAAGATACTGACATCACATTAGATTAGGTTTGGTAAGACACACAAGCTGCACATAAGATCGCACAGCACATACACAATGTAGCCAATATTATTATACACAATGTAGCAGATAGTATTAGATAGATGGAATGTATGAGTGTCATGAATGTATTTTAACTATAACGCTGTAACATTCTTCTTCTGTAATATTTAACTGGGCAGATTCTAAGTAAAGATTTCTCTCTGGTAAGAACTATGGTGTTGGCTGTTTATTTGTAATATCGGGTAGAATACCTTAGTAGTGCTAGTCATATATTTATCTGGGCAAGGGGATAAAGATATATGTTAGTTCTTGGAAGAGGTGACACAGGGATATTACATTCACTATTAATACACAACGCAGAGTGGATTTCTCTCAAAAGGATACCAATTGGAAGTATTGGTGGTGAGAGAAGGATTATACAACAACCTACATCTCTCAAGTAGCCATTGAACCAGAGTAAACATTGTAAGCATCTTAAAAACTCCTTCAACATTCCTCATCCTGAATATATTCTCTTTGGGCTAGGGGATCATATCTTCCAGACAGCCATTACATGGGCAGCTGTCTTTCTCTCTATAGTACTCTCTATAATACTACGTAGGGACCTGAACACTAGTGGAATTAGACAGGGCAGAAAAAGACATAAGAATATGATAAACACTACTCCTCCTACTAATGTCTTAATTCCTCCAAGCTGCTCATACCAGCTTCCAAACCAACTACTTGGGTTATACCCATTCCAGATCTGAGTAGGTACATGCACAAATTTAACCATGTGGCTTGTAAGTTCAGCCACTGCCTGCCCTTCATCATCTATGTGCAGACAACAGTTACTTAGATTAAACTTCCCGCATACACCTCCTTCCACTGCTAGTAAGTAATCAAGGGCTAGCCTATTCTGGTATATGGCTGATCGCATCCGGGTATTTTGCTTAACTAGAAGATTAAGCGCTTGTGCTGTCTCATTAGTGATAATCTCAATTACCGCCTGTAGTCTAATAATGCGGTTGAGCATATATATCGGAGTTCTATATCCATAAGTGCCATCTTCTGCCCAAGTAGCAGGTCTATAATAATTAATAATATGTTGAGGGGGCCACTCATCATCTTCCCCACTACCTATATTCAAGGATGCTCGCTTCTTTTTATGATTTACATCGTAAACCTTAACTCCCAAGGTCTCTCCTGTCTCAATTGGCAACAAGAAGAAGGATGGCTTTGGCATACCTAATACACATGCCCCTTCCCAATCTTGTGGTAACTTCGAATAAGTTTTCTTACCACAAATCCAGTGTAAATTTGCTGGGGCTTTCCAACTAGATGTAGCAGATAAGTCAAACCATACCTACTTTAAATGAGTGTAATTGGCAAACGGATTAGTGGGCTCCGAGACATTTGAAGCTGACCACCAAGTAGTATTTTTAGTATTAACATTATAGGCTTTTTGTCCCAAGCAAGTTAGCTCACCTACAGACGAGTTATACATTGTCCCTTTCCTGGCTATACAAACATGACCTATAATGGAGGTTTTTAACCACCATTCCGATTTACTTCTAGTACTTACTTGATGATCAGACTGGAAAGGTATCTGTTGTTCATATGTCTCAGAGCCAGGGTACCATATTTCCTTTGCCTCCCATGGCCACTGGTCTCCCATATTAGTACCTCCACACACATAGCAATTAGTTACATTAAGACTACCCGCAATACTCTCAGCCAAATCAATAAATAGGTTCTTAACATTATGGAGAATTTTATCCTCAACACTCCTCTCCTCATAAAAGGAATGGAAAACCTGATGAGTTTGAGTTGCCACTGTCTCCTGGAACTACTCCTGTGCCATATATTTGGAACCCAAAAATATTTCCAAATTTGTCAATAAAATGCTGGGGATTAGAGATGGTCATATGGACCGGATTACGTTCCATAGATTTACAGTATGGTGTGGTAGGCAACCTTTGGATAATCATATCTTGATCCACTGTTTTTCCCCAGGTTGCCCAACCTACACATGACCAGTAGGGGCAGAAGTTAAAGTCTCTATTTGGGCAGTCAGGATCAGTAGATGTTTTACTGGGACATAAGTATTTATCATTAAACCCATAAATCCGTTCCCATTTCAGATTACCACATACATTCCAAGGTTTTCCACTACCCGAAATCGCCTTACATGCATCAAATAATAGAATACCCGTGGAATGTATGGTGCTTATCACAGTCCTATTTATTAATGTCCCCTGGGAGTTACTATTCCGAATTACCAACCAAATTGTACGGGGTTGGAATTGGGGATCGAAACATTTAGACTCTCCTGATATTGGCTTTCACACACTATAATCAATATCCAAATATCTACATTTAGATACAGATCCCTTACATTCATACTGTGAGTGCCAGATGAGAGTTTGGGATATTTGATTACCTGTTTTAGTAGTCTTAATGCAACTATCGCAATTTGGTATGTCTGTACTCCTACCTTCCTGAAAAATCATAAAAATACTAAGACACATAATAAAACACATTATTCCTGAAATCCTCATTTTTCTTCGACCGTGCGATGGCCTCTCAGCTTCCCGATTGTGAGGGCTGCAAGGATGTTGTTCTTCTGATCCTCACTTTCCTTCACAGAGATCCCTTCGAGACACTCTGGCTATGACACGTAGGCAGGTGGTCAGGCTTTATTATGGCCGTCAAAACACCTACTTGATGATCTCTGTAGACTTTTAACTAGAATGTCTCGATATCCCCTCGTCACTCCGACTGAGTTGCACGCTTCAACCGGGTCCTGCAAGGATTCTCAGGATCTGGAGTAGCTTGCCAAGAGTCTGCCGCTGGTTTAACCTTAGAATGATGAATCCAAGGAGTCACTTCCACCACCTTTACAGCTGTTGGGGTAGATAAAAGAACAACATACAAAGGCTAACAGGATACACCCCGAGCTTTAACTCAATATGTATTGGTGGGATATTACGAGCAAGTCCTGGAGGATTATTTTCTTCCCATACTCCTGGAATGTCAAATAAGGATTCATCACTCTTAGGGTTAACACTTGTCACTATGGAATAGAAGCGTCATTCTTCTTCCCTTGGCACCGATATCGCCATTATGCCTGGTAATCCCTTAAACTTCAGAGATGTTGATCCATTAGGTAAAAGGTTATCTGAGCTTAAAGCTTCGATAATAGATCTCGTCCTAAAAGTTGAATCGGACACTCTGGCATATATAGGAACTAATGCTTCACCACATGGCCTCCCAGAATACAAGTGCGACTCTTAAGAACCGGTCTAGCTGCACTTCTCCCAGTAGCTCCTATCACAGTTATAGTCTTCCCCGAAGGCGGAGCCACCATCTTAGTCACCACAGAATGTTCAGCACCTGTGTCGATCATGAAAGAACTTCTCTTTCCCCCTATTGCTACATCGACCATAGGCTCCGCTTGACCAAGTGGGATGGAGCCCGGTCGGTATCAATAGTCTTCCATGATAGTATCAGCCAGACCCACAAAATCTCTATCCTCTCTTTCTCTAGGTCTCTGAGTGGGTGGATAGTATCTGTCTCCTTGAACACTTCCTCTACTATTCCCACCATTCCCTCTAAAACTTCCTCTTCCTCTATAACTACCACTATAACCTCCTCGTACCCTTCTCTCTCCTTGTATATCACCTTCATACTGCTCTCTCTGTGGACACTCACTCTTCCAATGTCCCTCCTTTCTACAATACGCACATTGATTTCTACCTAGTGGTACCCTGCTCAGCTTATTCTCGTCTCCTCTATTCACTTCCCTGTCTTTCTACACTTGAGATAGCTACCGCTAGCATATCTGCCTTTTTCCTCATTTTACGTTCTTCCTCCCGCTTTACCTCCGTCTCCCTATTCATATATACTTTATTTGCAATCTCCATGAGCTGTAATATGGACATCCCTACAAATCCCTCTAATTTCTGTAATTTCCTTTTAATATCACCTTGGGCCTGGCTGACAAATGCTGAATTATTCATCCTAAAATTCTCAGGAGCCTCTAGATTAAAAGGAGTATACAACCTATATGACTCCAATAATCTCTCATAAAAAGTACTAGGTGACTCATTAACCTTTTGCAACACCTCAGCCGTCTTTGACATATTAATTGCCTTCTTCCCTCCTGCCTTCATGACAGCAATTATGGCTTCCCGATAAGCTCTTAGTTGGGGCATGTCAGCACCATTCACGTTCCAATTTGGATCGACATTTGGATAATAGGCTATAGCCCATGCAACCGGATTGGCCTGATTTTGAGTACGGGCCGTTTCCTCAAGCGCTTTAATAGCCGCTTGATTAATCCGGGTCCTTTCCTCACAATTAAATAAAGTTAATAATAATTGCTGGCAATCGGCCCAGGTGGAATTATGTGTTTGGATAATAGAAGTAACCAAATCTGTCATAACTTGAGGTTTGTCAGTATATGAAGAGTTATGAGTCTTCCAGTTGAATAAATCAGTCATAGTGAAGGGGACATATACAAACACTGGATCTGCCCGTTGTATTTGGCCATTCTAATGCACGTGTGTTGGGCCTGATGTAAGTCAGAGGGGCATTTTGTAATCTCGGGATGGAAGGGTGCCAGTCAGTTGTCGGGTTAGTATGGGACTTCCTATTTATTAATGTCCCCTGGGAGTTACTATTCCGAATTACCAACCAAATTGTACGGGGTTGGAATTGGGGATCGAAACATTTAGACTCTCCTGATATTGGCTTTCACACACTATAATCAATATCCAAATATCTACATTTAGATACAGATCCCTTACATTCATACTGTGAGTGCCAGATGAGAGTTTGGGATATTTGATTACCTGTTTTAGTAGTCTTAATGCAACTATCGCAATTTGGTATGTCTGTACTCCTACCTTCCTGAAAAATCATAAAAATACTAAGACACATAATAAAACACATTATTCCTGAAATCCTCATTTTTCTTCGACCTTGCGATGGCCTCTCAGCTTCCCGATTGTGAGGGCTGCAAGGATGTTGTTCTTCTGATCCTCACTTTCCTTCACAGAGATCCCTTCGAGACACTCTGGCTATGGCACGTAGGCAGGTGGTCAGGCTTTATTATGGCCGTCAAAACATCTACTTGATGATCTCTGTAGACTTTTAACTAGAATGTCTCGAAATCCCCTCGTACTTTTTCTCACGACATGTTCAATCCAACTGGGTTATGCGCTTCAACCGGATCCTGCAAGGATTCTCAGGATCTGGAGTAGCTTGCCAAGAGTCTGCCGCTGGTTTAAACTTAGAATGATGAATCCAAGGAGTCACTTCCACCACCTTTACAGCTGTTGGGGTAGATAAAAGAACAACATACAAAGGCTAACAGGATACACCCAGAGCTTTAACTCAATATGTATTGGTGGGATATTACGAGCAAGTCCTGGAGGATTATTTTCTGCCCATACTCCTGGAATGTCAAATAAGGATTCATCACTCTTAGGGTTAACACTCGTCACTATGGAATAGAAGCGTCATTCTTCTTCCCTTGGCACTGATATCGCCATTATGCCTGGTAATCCCTTAAACTTCAGAGATGTTGATCCATTAGGTAAAAGGTTATCTGAGCTTAAAGCTTCGATAATAGATCTCATCCTAAAAGTTGAATCTGACACTCTGGCATATATAGGAACTAATGCTTCACCACATGGCCTCCCAGAATACAAGTGCGACTCTTAAGAACCGGTCTAGCTGC